CTATTTTTTATATACATTCTAACAGGAATATTTGAAATGCATGTTATTAAATGGTAGTCATGCTGCAGTCTGTAACAGGATATTGTTGTTATAGGAAGCAAAAATTATTTCTAGATGCACAATTGCATATTGAATTGTTTTTAATTGATTGGTTCTTATCCAAGGCTACTTCCATGTCGTTTTATGGTTCTCCAGATTAGATCTTTGAGCCAAATTTGATTTCTGTGCAGTAAGACCGCATGACCTACACTTTTATGATGAATGTTCTCGCTCATTAATAATTCACTGTATGGGGAAAACCCACTGGGGAGTACATATTCTTTACCGTAATACCTTTTAATTAAAGAAACTTATTTGAATTTTCTGATTCCACTGATGAAATGCAACTGCCAGCATAATTGGTAGTTCTTCTTTCTCCATAGGCTTTCAGACTTTCTGGAGCTATTTTAACATATCTGTATATTCTACTCAGATAGGAATAATGCAACAGTAGACTATGCAAGCAACATTAACGACGTGACCTTTAAAGGAATGTCAAGCTAATATTTTTAAAAAATCTACCTCTTTAAACCGGATTTTTTCTTATCTAAACATACATTAAAAAGAACCAGAACCTGTTAAAACAATGCAGTTAAAGTTGGAAAAGGAATTAATTGCTTGGTTTACAGAAGAGCATGCAGCTTTTTCAGTTCTAGGGCTTTTTCGGTGTAAATGTGCTGAATGAGGCATGGCATTTCTGTTATGGAGGAGAATAAGTTCATTGAAAGGTGATGCAGCCACGGCAACTGACAAAGAGTGAGAACGTCATCAGTGAATTCTGCCACCAGAATACCTTTGCCAGTAATGTCTTCATGGCTACACCCTTGTAGGTCTGTGTCCAGTATGATTGAAGTCCATGTAAAACTGCACTTCCAAAATTAAATTTTCAAGTGAAACTATAGCATGTGACATTGCTGTTTCCATATGTGAGGATAAATAGCGTATATACTTCTTTGTTTTACCTAAGGATTGATATGTAGTATAAAATGTTAGCCCTTCCCAAGGTCTCTCTGTGCTGCCCAATGGTGTCTTGTGGTGGGGCCATTGGAGCTGGCTGTGTCTGGCACAAGGCTGCCCTGGCTTCACCTCACATGCATAGGGGAGAGGACATTTTATTTTGTATCTACAACCTTATTTCTTCTTTTTCCCCAAAATGAGGCACATTTTTCAGCTTCTCTTAGAAAGACAACTGGGAAGGAAAAAAAAAAAAAAAATCAAACTCCACATAGAATTTTGCCAGTGTTATTAAGTATGGGAATACATGAATTATTTATGTCCAACTTTCGATATGTTCCCAGCAGGCTGGTAGTATTTTACCTGTTCATCTATGAATGATCATCTAAGGTTTAAATTTGGTTCTCTCAGGAGCATGTATATGCTCTGACTTACAGAATCTCATTTGTTTTTCTCTGACGCATGTATGAAATAGCAGGAAACTATGGGAATCAAATACAACAGATTGTGTTATAGTTATATACGCAGCCACGGTGTACTCTGTTATGTTTCTTAATTTTTATTTTTCTTCTATTTGCTATAGTTCTCCATTTGAATTTAAGGCTAAGCTCCCTTGCATTAAAAGCTTAACATCATCAAGTGTAATTTGTGAGGAAAGATGAAAATAATTGGAGTAGCTTTTTCTAGAAAAGAGAGCCCAGAGTAGAGGAATGTTGTGATCATGTGTGCTAGTGATGAAGTAATTTGATTTCTGTGTGTGTTTCGGATGGTACAGGACATGCTGAAGTTGTACTGGGAAAAGCATGTTAACTAGTAAAGCAAGCTTTCTGCAAGTAAGGTGGGTAGAATCCCAGAACAGACAGAGGAGGCCATGGGAAGCTTCAGATGCTCCAAGTGACTTAGAAAAAAAAAAAAAAAATCTGCATCATTGGGAAGTTTTGTAGTGAGATAGGGAACTTGCAGCCCCATCTTCTGTAATTCTTATGTACCAGCAGTTTTAAGCCCTGTTAAGACTTGAGAGTACCTGACTTCTTATACTGAAGACCAGACTGAATTAAAATGTATTCCTAATCTGATCAAATGGACTAGTTCAATTCAAATGCTGGCTGCTCCATTAGTGTTGAGTAATACTATTCCTGATTCATGTATGATTCTTTTTGAACATAACTGCCTTCGGTACAGTAACTTCTCTGTCATATTGCAAACTCAATTCTCTGTTTTCTTTGTATATGATTTTTCTCATATGAATTTGCATAATGCAAAAACATTGAAGTGCATTACATTAAAAGCTCAGCTGGCTAAAGTCACGCTGAGATTCAGTGTCATGTTATTAAATGCAATTTGTTACAATCTTGCACCCTCAAATAATTGTAATAATAAACTGAACTAATGAGATAGAAATTGTATTTTGTCCAGAAGAAATATTTTAGGCAGAATGCCTTTTCTTTTACTCATCGTTTTAAGCTATATATTAAAGGACAAAAGACAAACAACAAGAAAAAGCCAAAAATCATGGGATGCATGAGTTGACTGTAGAATATTAGCATTGCTCAGTCCAGATATTGAGCCTATTTTATTGAAGCAAATACAGTTGGTTGCGTTATCAGATTTGTTTTCTATTTAAATTGATTTTTGCAGAATTTCAAATAGTGCTGTAGTGATATACCATGCCTTTTTATTTAAAAAAAGTGTTTACAAAAAGCTTCTGAAAATTAAAATGTAATAAATTTAATGCAGTTCCAAAACAAGTTTGGGATAGCAAGAGGCAGTGTGTCATACTGATATTACTCATTATGAGCATAGAGAACCTAACAGCAATAGGAAACAACCGTACCTCAGTGGGCCTCATTTGGATTTGCTCTCAGAGAGTCTCACGGACAAAAAACAGCCTTGAGTTCAGGAATTATGCTTAATTAGATATATTTCCAATTAACGTAAATCTAAAATTATTGATTCTAGTAATGAGAAACTAAGAAAACAAGCAATGAAATGAACACAAGGAAAAGACTTATCTCCCCCCATCCAACTGAATGAACACAAGGCATGTCTGCCCATCCTGATGACAGTTGGCTGAATATGAGCCAGCAGTGTACCCAGGTGGCCAAGAAGGCCACTGGCATCCTCACTTGTATCAGGAATGGTGTGGTGAACAGGACTATGAAAGTAATCCTGCCCCTGTACTCGGCATTGGTGAGGCCTCACCTCGAGTACTGTGTTCAGTTTTGGGCACCTCAGTACAGAAGGGCCATTGAGGTGCTGGAGCAGGTCCAAAGAAAGGCAACAAGGCTTGTGAAAGGCATAGGGAATATGCCCTATGAGGAGAGACTGAAGGAACTGGGCTGTTTGGGGAAAAGAAGGCTGAGGGGAGATCCTATTGCTCTCCTCAAATACCTGAAAAGTGATTGCAGCAAGAGCAGGGTTGGTCTCTTCTCACTGGTGACAGGTGACAGAACAAAGGGAAATGGCCTCAAGTTGTGCTAGGGTAAGTTTAGATTGGATATCGGGAAAAACTTCTTTACAGAAAGGGCTGTTAAGCACTGGAATAGGCTCCCCAGGGAGGTGGTTGAGTCACCATCCCTGGATGTGTTTAAAAACATTTGGATGTGATGCTCAGGATTTAGTGGAGGGTTGTTAGAGTTAGGGAGATATGGTTAGGTTGTGGTTGGACTTGATGATCTTTAAGGCCTTTTCCAACCTGAAAAATTCTATGATTCTTCTTCCATGTTATACTCTTTACCTTTGGTGAGGTGATGGGTGAGCTCTTCCCACACAGGTTACCAGGTTTTCCTTTCCTCCCCACAAGAAACTCTGCCAGTTAAGTATTGGCCAATATGGATTGCTGCAGTACAGAACAATTGTATCTCTGGAATGTTACCAGAGCTAAGTTGAAGTTTTATCACTTCTGTTTATTTGCTTACAAAAAGGGAGTCATATGAAAATATGTAGCTGCTTTAATTAAAAGTAATATTTTATGATAGTAATCTTGTGCTTCAACATGTCAACTAATCTAGCCTGAAATATATGGAAATTTCACTTTGGAGAATAACCATTTTATGAATAATCTGCTTTTTTATGTTTTTACTGTATGTAAGAAAGCTAATCTTCTGAGCTTCAGGAAGCTTTTGAAAAAGACTTCCCATCTAGACTGAATGAATGTTCCTGGGCAGTACTGAAACTTAGATCCAAACTTCTATAGAATGTAATCTCCCTTCTTATAGAGCCCTGCTTTCCCTGTCAGGGCGATGTGCTGATTTTTACTCTGTGACCTGAATTTTGTATGTTGCTGTTAGCCAAGTCCCCTTAACTTCTCTTCAAACTTCGCATTTCTTTCCATTAAAATAAATAAATAAGTAATATCTGTCTTCATAAAAACCTGAGTTAAGTAAAGTGGGACAGAGCCAAGGCATAAGGTTTTGCCATTGATGTGAATGGTGATTGCTGTGGTCTTTAAGTGGAGGTATTACAATATAGCTTAGCCTCCAGAAAAAAATGCATTGTCCTTTTCAAAGAAGGAAAACTAGTAATTCCTGCAAGTAGTACAAGTCTTGTTTTGTAACATCTCAAAAATGTCTTAACAACTGGTGTGCTGAGTTTTTTGTTTGTTTTTTTTTCAAGAATACTCTGATAAAATATTTTCAAAATCACCCTGTAGACTGGAATAAAAGCACAGTCACCAAGCTTAAAATACAATAGATACTAAATAGTCAATTGAATTAGGAAGCCAGCACTGGAATTGTTCTATTTCTCTTGTATTATCAGTTGGTTTACTGTTTGCAAAGCACTTCATGATTCATTATTTTCATGGTACTGTAATTTAGTGTTGGATGCTGCCACTGGAATACTTTATGAAAATCACAGCTGTAAATGATTTGAATCCTCTCCAAATGTACTGTGGTGCATATTTTAGAGTAAGACTGGGAGATATATTTTGCTTTAAAATGAATTTTAAAAATTATTCAGTCTGAAATAAATCTTTTTTTTTGATGTTGTTTCTCCATAAACTGCAGAAGCTATGCCTGTTCCAGACCAGCCCTCGTCTTCTGATAAGACAAGCTCCCTCAGTCCTGTGCTGAACACATCCAACGGTGATGGCTCTGAAACTGAGACAACGTCTGCCATTCTAGCATCAGTTAAAGAACAGGTATGCCAGAACTATGTTTGCGTGTTGGAAGAGAATATTATGATTTGGTGGTTTTACCAAGGTTTAGTAGGCAGTACATGAATAATTTCATTAGCAGATGCAAGTTGTAAAGAGCACAAAATATTTATCTGTGTCAGTATGCTTCCATGTACTGTCCTAGGAATAGCTTCAATGTAATTAAAGTGTTGATTTCCTCCTTCATATTTAGTCTTTATTGTGGACATTAGTTTTGAAAGATGTCTCATTTTCTTGTTGGTGACTTATGTGTGGAGTTCTATCGTGCTGTTTAAGAACTACTGACAAAAAGTAGCTTTGAGAAAAGTTAGTTATTCCAGTTATTTTAGGTAAAAGATTTAAGGTATAGCAAGATTTTAAAGTTCATTATATGCTTGTTTTTATTCTTATTGTATGCACAGTGTGGAATGAGATTATTGTAGAGCAAAATTGGGCAGAGAAAGAAGCTTTTGGCCTTGGAGTTAAAATCAGAAGCATTAGCAATATTAGAAGGAAAAAGACCTTTTGAGTGACACTCTGCATGATTCTAGAAAGACAGTTTGGGATGTTTTTATGTTAATTTTGGTGGGTTGATTGTCTTAGATTTCGCTTTATTCCTCAAGAGATGGTTTGTATTTGCTTCGTAAAACACCTAGTCTCCACTGCTGCTTCATTTGCTTCAGCTGTAGCATCAGGTATCCTGGAAAGAGACATAAATGGTTGTTTCTGGTCAGATTTCTTCTTCCTGTAAGCATCTTGGTTGTTCCTCCCATTATAAAGTAGTGATCTTAGCAGCGTAAGATGTTCACTGCTTCGTTAGTGAAATTAACATGAATTTGGTTTATGATGTCTAATACCATTGCAATAATAGCTGTTGCATCGTTGGGCATTTAAAAAAAAAAAAAAAAAAAAGCAACAAGTGATCTTGTGCTTATTATTTTGTTTGCTATGTATCAGTTCTCTCCTTTGGGTGTGTTAGAGGTTATTCGTATTTTCAGTTTTTGAAAAGATGAGTGCAAGAAAGAAAGGTAGTAAAATGGAGTTGTGTTTTAGGATTTATGCCACGATGTTGTATCAGATTTACCCACAGATTGTTTGCATTTTTTCTTCCAGGACAGTAGTGTTGACTGAGCTTGAATCATTGTTTTGACTTCAGACAGGTGTTTCAGACTGTGTTTCTATATTGTTACCATGAAAAGTATCTCTCTTAGCTATTGGCTTTCTGATGTTGAAAAAATATACATGGGCATGGAATTGGTAGATGCGTGTACTTATCTGTTGGAAATACTGTATTGAGTAGTGAGAAGTTGCTTTTCTGTTGCTGAATTTTGTGATCATTCTGCTAGAATGTGATTAGTCATGTAATTTGCAACTGCACAAAAATAAAAAAAAAAATCTTCCCCTACACACAAAAAAATTATGAAATTATGAATTTTGAATATTTATGAATATTTATGAATGTACTAGAGGAACTTGGCAATGAAACCACAAGCCAAAAAGGATTTTAAATGGAAAAGAAAATTAGCAAATTTATTTGTGATTCCTATGAATAACCAGCTAACCTATGCTATTGCTGTCTAAAAAGGTAATCAATTGTGTCATTGTGATACAGGGTAAAAATGCAAAAACTTCACTGGTGTTCTCTCCAGTGCATTTGTTTCTTGACAGGTGATCTGTGTACTAAGATACTTTCATAAAGTACTAAGCTTAAAAGTTAGACTAATTTTGGGGAGTATCTCAATGCATTCCTCAGAATATATGGTGACTTCAGGAAAGTCAGTTTATGACACATGTTTATGTTCAGCCATGCTGCTGGGAAAGCCATGTAATTTAATTTACTTTGTAGTAAAGGTTTGAAATAGCAAATTGATTTGGCTTTCTATTTCTGTTTTCTGTTCCTCGTAATATTGTATGTTTTGATAGGCTTCTACGTTTTGTTGGAACAATTCTAGGCTGCTCCTGCCATACTTAAAGCAGATGAAATGTATTACATCAATTCAGCATTAGGGAAATAGATTAAGTTTCTATCTGCCTGTTGAGATGTCTAGCCCTTGCTTTTTAGAAGGAAGGATGAATGAATGATATCACTACTTGGTATGGGTCTTTTCTTTATTATTCACTGTAGCCCAGAAAGAAACTTGAAATTCTGAGAATTGCCTGTGTTTGCATGTTGTGTGACTGCATGAGAGTCAACTGAGATTTATGATACTGAGTACTGTAATGAGCATTTTTTTCTTCGAAGAGGGCAGGATATATGGAAGAAGGCACAGAGAAGTCATAGATGTGACATTTGTTTCTTTTAATTTTTATGTGAAACATAAATGATTCATTGGAAAAATCTGAAGCTTTGCATTTGAAGATCTATGTGCTGTATCTTACTTTGAGGAACAGATTTATGGGATCTAAAAACAATTTTGCCTTTAACGTGAAGTGGCACTCAAACTGTTGTGAATTTAGCTACATGCTTTTCAAGATGGGGATTTGTGACAAAATAGAAGTGGAAGCCTCTATTTTGTTGCTGAGGAGTTATGTTTATTTTAAGGAATCCTAAACTACTTGCTTTAATACATTAGACATTTTGTTTTTGCTTAACACCTTCTCAGGCATACTGAATAAACTCATGTTTCAGACCTTTGAGGTGAAATTGAGAAGAAGTAAAGGATAAGGGGTGTAAACCCAGGTTTTTTTCTTGTTTCAAGCTTCTTCCAGGTCATAGGCACTGCTGGAGGTGACGTCAGAATCACACACCATATTGTTAAGAAATCTAGGGATGCCAGACAGTGAACTTTACCTTTGATATTTTCAAGCTGTCCTCATCAGGAGGAGGAGTTATCAACTTCTCTAAAGTGAAAGCTGCTTTTTCTTTCATTGATTGTCATCTACTTTTGTACCTGTAAATATTGGAAAAATTCTCCAACAAACAGAAATCATGATTTCTGAGGACACTAATTTCTCCTATTGCATCCATATTGTTTCTTCTGCAAAAAATGCTGTATGTTGTTGATTAAGAATTCGCATCTGTGCAAGACACTTTTGATCCTACTCAGTGTTAAAAGGTTCTTGGGAAGAGAGCTGTTCATAATGCTGTTTTTTGAAGGTAGAAATAGCTGCTGGAGAGCCTTTTGAGTAAATACATAGTAAAGCTGATGCTTTCACTGGGAATCTATATACGTGGTTCACAGTAGTTCAGTTCTTGGCATGCAGAAACAGCTCTCCTGGAAGCTGAGGATGGATGTAGTGACAGTGATCTAGTAAAGGCTGTTTTGGCAGAGTAGTTTTTTTAGTGAAAATGCTTGGAGAACATGAGATAAAATCATTTCCTAAGAGCAAGAGAGAGCTCTTGAGGCACTGACGATTTTGTTTAATGCAGAAATAGTATCATACATTTCTGTCAGATTTTGTGACTCATGGTCAGTTTTTTCACCATCTGAGCAGTTGCCTTTCCTGAGAACAGCTCTCCTCTCTTTCATAAAGCTTATGCAAAGAAGTTGTGTAACATTTAATATTTCTTCTGAATTGCTTTGAAATCTACCTATTTCAAATCAAGTTACTATTTTTCAGGTGCTTGTCTTCACTTGCCTTTAAAAACAAAACAAAAACCTTTAGTCTGTTACACTGTTGGAACATTTCTCTCTCTGTTTAAAGAAATGGTTGATTAATATGCTCTTTAAGTCACAGTACTGATTCCAGAGAAAACAGAAGTCTCTGGATTTGAGATGGTTGCTGGTAACTTTTCCTGTTAAAACAAGGATAAAAGAGTGATCTCAGTTGTTAAATTTGTTCCAGCTTTATAAATCTAACATATTTTTTGTCTAAAGAAAGATACTTTTAAAAAATAACCAGTATTATCATTATCAAACTGTTTTCTACAGAAATTTCAGTTAAAACTAGTCTAAAAGCACACACAACATGTAGTCATTATTACTTTGTAACGTGTATCATTCTTAAATGAGGGTAATATATGTGCATGACTTTTGTGAAATTGTTAGGTATTCATACTTCCTGGAGACAAATGTATGTATGTTATGCACATTTTATATTTGCAAGTAAAACTACAGATGAAAATGACACTAAAAGATGAAAGATTTCATTTCTTTTCTTCACTCTGTCAGACTGTTCTTTCTACATCTATATATCATCTTTGAGGTTTCAGAAAATCATAAATTTAGGTTAATGTTTCAATCCAGGCTAGTTTTCTAATGTTATGAGGACAGAAGAGGCTTAGGAATTCATTTAGTCACTGTGTTTCATACAGTTGTCCAAGTACTTAGCTGTGAATCTGTTCACAGAATGATTTCTGCCGCTATTTTTCTGATTAAACTGAATGCTATGTTGTGTGATATTCACCAATATAGATAAAATCTCATTGTTTCCTTGTAGGAACCAATAATTAGTGTAATAACCTGAAGTGATCTGTGGATTTTTCTAAATAGGTTCAATTATGATACATTCATATTTTGCTCATCCTCACACATCAGGCACTATCTTTGCCTTTGTGTATTTTGGCATCTCTGTTTCAGACCCAGGTTAATTATATTCAGTTTATATATAATTTTTCATCTTCTCAGTAGTGTGCCAATATATTCAACTCCTTAGTTATAGAGTTATCTTTTTTTCCAGTGAGGTTTTAAAATATTTCAAAGAGATGCCTCTTCCTTGTATCATCTTTCCTTTCATTAATATATTTATTTTGGATATTAATACACTGTAACAGGAACTTGACTGCATTATATATTTTGAATACCACAAATGTGTATATATTGGATAGCATTATTCTAAGAGTGCAGAATGGAGCAACATACTATTAAAATACAAGGCTTCCACTTCCTTATCTAGAAATTGTCAAGGTCGTGTTTCTGTATATTTGATTTTCCTGTTTTCAGTATTCCTCTCCTGCTTGAGAAAAGCTTGAATTGCTTGAATTAAGCAAAATCAATCGACAGCTACGTTTATTTGCATAACAAAAGTTTCTGAGGCCCGTGGCTTTTTCAAAACAGCTTACCTAT